ACAAGACAGTTAGAGTGTGGGATGCTCAAACAGGTCAGAGTGTCATGGATCCTCTCAAAGGCCATGATCATTGGGTTACTTCAGTTGCATTTTCTCCTGATGGCAGGCACATTGTCTCTGGATCTCATGACAAGACAGTCAGAGTGTGGGATGCTCAAACAGGTCAGAGTGTCATGGATCCTCTCAAAGGCCATGATCATTGGGTTACTTCAGTTGCATTTTCTCCTGATGGCAGGCACATTGTCTCTGGATCTCATGACAAGACAGTTAGAGTGTGGGATGCTCAAACAGGTCAGAGTGTCATGGATCCTCTCAAAGGCCATGATCATTGGGTTACTTCTGTTGCATTTTCTCCTGATGGCAGGCACATTGTCTCTGGATCTCATGACAAGACAGTCAGAGTGTGGGATGCTCAAACAGGTCAGAGTGTCATGGATCCTCTCAAAGGCCATGATTCTTGGGTTACTTCTGTTGCATTTTCTCCTGATGGCAGGCACATTGTCTCTGGATCTTATGACAAGACAGTCAGAGTGTGGGATGCTCAAACAGGTCAGAGTGTCATGGATCCTCTCAAAGGCCATGATTCTTGGGTTACTTCTGTTGCATTTTCTCCTGATGGCAGGCACATTGTCTCTGGATCTTATGACAAGACAGTCAGAGTGTGGGATGCTCAAACAGGTCAGAGTGTCATGGATCCTCTCAAAGGCCATGATCATTGGGTTACTTCTGTTGCATTTTCTCCTGATGGCAGGCACATTGTCTCTGGATCTCATGACAAGACAGTTAGAGTGTGGGATGCTCAAACAGGTCAGAGTGTCATGGATCCTCTCAAAGGCCATGATTCTTGGGTTACTTCTGTTGCATTTTCTCCTGATGGCAGGCACATTGTCTCTGGATCTTATGACAAGACAGTCAGAGTGTGGGATGCTCAAACAGGTCAGAGTGTCATGGATCCTCTCAAAGGCCATGATGATTGGGTTACTTCTGTTGCATTTTCTCCTGATGGCAGGCACATTGTCTCTGGATCTCGTGACAAGACAGTTAGAGTGTGGGATGCTCAAACAGGTCAGAGTGTCATGGATCCTCTCAATGGCCATGATCATTGGGTTACTTCAGTTGCATTTTCTCCTGATGGCAGGCACATTGCCTCTGGATCTCATGACAAGACAGTCAGAGTGTGGGATGCTCAAACAGGTCAGAGTGTCATGGATCCTCTCAATGGCCATGATCATTGGGTTACTTCAGTTGCATTTTCTCCTGATGGCAGGCACATTGTCTCTGGATCTCGTGACAAGACTGTCAGAGTGTGGGATGCTCAAACAGGTCAGAGTGTCATGGATCCTCTCAATGGCCATGATCATTGGGTTACTTCTGTTGCATTTTCTCCTGATGTCAGGCACATTGTCTCTGGATCTTATGACAAGACAGTCAGAGTGTGGGATGCTCAAACAGGTCAGAGTGTCATGGATCCTCTCAAAGGCCATGATTCTTGGGTTACTTCTGTTGCATTTTCTCCTGATGGCAGGCACATTGTCTCTGGATCTGATGACCCAACAGTCAGAGTGTGGGATGCTCGTGACTCCTATGATATACTGTTAAAATTCTGCCATTATGATCAATTGGGTTATCTTCCAGTTGCATTTGTCTCCT